GAGCTCATGTTCAAAAAATATCCTACTGGTATGAGAAACAGTGATATAGATCAGTATATTGATATTGTTCGAAGAACCAACACACAATATTTAGGCTATAATCCTGTGAAAGGCTATCTACATCAAATTCGAAAAAATTCATTGACATTATCAAACCAAGAATCACTACGCTACATTCCATGAATTTGAAGAAAACTGTAAAAAACAAGACCCCTAAGCCCACATCAATACCTTCAGTTGTTCGAGGGCAACCAACGAGACCAAGAAGTGGTTCCACTCCTTCAATCATGACGACAAGAAGCCGAACAAAACAGGGAGGAAAATTGACCATGATGCAACTGAACAAAAAACCTGCGGAATAAATATTTTAACGACATTAATGAATTAGTAGATAGACTAAGGCTTTTAATTGCTTCTGAATCGGCTGATACTGGTCACAATAATGAGATTATTTCTATTATTGAAGAGCTGAGGGAAGGCAGGATCATAAAATAGATTGATAGTTATTATTTTGAGTCATCCTGATTATAGCACTGTAACGATACCGATCGATAAGTTTGGAAGACATCTTTTTAACAAAAACCGAAATCCTAGCACATCTCCAGAAGAACCATTATTGGCATCAACGCAGTCTATACAGTTACAATCACCTTTCTATATCTGTCAACCAATATCTTACCATAGTAAATGTATAATTACTCTCCGTGGATCGGGTTCAGGTCAACAAGTTCCAGGAATAGTGAAAAAAAAACTGGGTCTTCTTACAAGAAAACAATAGTGGATCATATGTCTTCCCGGTATCTGGAAAGATTGAGAAAATTGATGTTTTACCAAAGGATACAACAATTAGGTTGGGGGATAATGACATACAGGTGAAAGAATTGATAGAAAAAAAGATGAATAAAGGTGACACGATCCCATTTGCCTCTATCAAAAGAGATCGATTGGGTTCATTGTATGCTCAAATAGTGCTCCAGTGCCCATCAACTAAAAATGAGTAGTGTCAAAGAATCAGTCGTTATCTAATTACATAAGCCTGCTAGGAAAACATTTAGAAGACGTCGAGTGATAGTGAAAGGTTTGAATGACTTGTATCAGGCTGATCTAGTTGAAATGATACCCTACGCAAAAATTAATAAAGGATACCGCTACATATTGGTTGCAATCAATGATTTTAGTGAATTGGTATGGTTGAGACCGGTGAAACGTAAAAACGCAAAAGATGTCACAGAAGCAATGAGAGATATCCTTGATAATGTTGAAATTAAACCAAAAAATATTCAAACAGATATGGGGAAAGAATTCTTCAACAAAGATTTCAGATCGTTGATGGAATCTCTCAACATAAATCACTATAGCACATTTTCAAATTTGAAAGCTAGTGTGGTTGAGCGGGTGAATCGCACTTTGAAGGATTCAATGTGAAAGAAATTAAGTTTGCAGGGTACTCATAAGTGGTTGAATATCCTGAAGGAAATAGAGGATGTATATAATAACACAAAACACAGCACAATTGGAATTAAACCTAAAGATGTGAATTCTGGGAATTAAAATACATTACTGAAAACTGTATATAGTCATTTGAAAACAATTGATCCTAGAAAGAATAAATTCAAAGTAGGTGACTTTGTGAGAATAAGCAAGTTCAGCGAAGCATTTTCAAAGTCGTATCAGCCTTCTTGGTCAAATGAAGTCTTCAGAATTCGACAAGTTAAATTGTCAAACCCAACTACTTACCTGCTTGAAGATCAAAATCAAGAAGAAATTCGGGGAGGTTTCTACAGCGAAGAGCTTCAGAAAGTGGAATATCCCAACATCTACTTGGTTGAAAAAGTTTTATAGCGACGTGGAAACAAAATTCGTGTCAAGTGGCTAGGCTTTGATAATTCTCATAATTCATGGATTGATAAAAAGGAACCTCTGTGAAATACATTCATATTTCTTGGAATAAAACAATTATTCAGATGATTTCATTTTTTTTTATTACGTAATTCCTAGTGGGTACAATTATTCGTATGCTAATTTTTATTGTACATTATTCAGGTCTTCAGAAAAAACGTCAGGGTTTATGTGGATGAATTCCAATACTAAACTGATATTTTCACTACTTGGGTTCTCCTGTGGCCTGACAAGATTGAGTGCATTGTTCACTACATCTCCATCTTGATTTTGAAGAGCTCTCTGCAGAACTGTGAGGTAATTCGTAAACTGCAGTCCCCATCAATTCCATTTGATATTTGATGAGCGGCAATAGAGTCCACAACTTGCAAAGGGATTCATAACCCAAGAAAACATAATAGTTATTTTTCTGAATCTTGACAACACTCGTTTCCGAAATTTTCATAGAGTATATCTAGAAGGATTCACCATCTAACGAGTTCGGATGGTCACTAGGATAGAAATAATTTGTAATGATTTCTTGATATTTAAGAAAATCCATCCACTCACGATCATTGAAAGTGATTGCATCATTCTTGAGTCCTGATATCTGGATGCAGGGCCTGAAGCCAAATTCATAGGATAATCCTATGGAAACGTACTTGCTTCTCGATTTATTCAAAGGCAATCTCTTCTCTCCCAACAATATCGATTTATGTTTATTCTCATGATGTTCTTTCAGATTATATCTAACTCCCGAGTCACCGGTAGGAACACTTGATGTATAGTAGCTCTGCCCACTCGAATTCACAGTTGATTTCGACAAGTCCATTTCAGAATAATATGTGTTTTACAACTAGAATTCGAAAACTGAGTGAAGGATCTCATTGTGATAAGTTATATACCTTTGAATTTTTTGAAGTAGAGGTTCTTAATTTCTGGTTAATCAAAAATGATTTATCACATAATTATCACACAATTGAAAATTATTAGTCTGATGAATACATTATTTCATACACAAGATGAATCATTACGTTAACTAATATCAATTAGTCTGAAGGAGCAATGAATTAACTTTGATCACTATTAATTAAGAATAACTCATGGATGACACATTCTGCACATGTTTTCAATTGGAGAATATTAGTTCATTGATATTTATTGTTGATAATTAATATTTAATGACTGCACCTGTTCTCAATTACTCGGTACATATAGTTATGGATGAAAGTCAATTAAAATCAATTGACTGAATCATTCAATTATACATACATACAATCCCTACTTCCATAGTTTTGTATATAGTACGGATATAAATTCGCCTACGTTCATACATCAGATATGTCCTTTCCTAATTCACAATGGATGTGGACGAAACATTTTCCGACTCTGATGAAATCGAATTAGACGGAGAACAAGTGATCAAAAACCAGTATAGTGTCAACAGTGTTCAGTTCATAAATGACTTTTCACAGCAGTTTGTCTGCATAATGCAACATTATTATTACATCACCATGTTGGAGAACAAAAAGTTCTGCACGAGCTGCTATTTCAACATTGTTGCAGATCACGACAGGAATATCGACAGTTTCCAGGAGTCCTCACACATCACGAAATATCCAGCAGGCTTAGTTGGCGAAATAAAGTTTTGTTATGTTCGTAGAGATGCTCTGTTCACGTTTTGCTCGACAAGGTTTTGTCTATTATACAATAACTGAAATACTTCTGTGTAGTGTCTTTTATCATGTTCAAAACTGTTTTCACAACATTTTCTGTATATACTCTATAATAATAACCAATAATTTATATCGATTCATCTTAATTTGAATAAATATCAATTCTCCATTATATTTTTTGAGGCATTTTGTCTTCTAAATACCTTGAATAATTTTTTTCAGCGCCCTACTTCTTGCCCGATACGGACCTGCCCCTATCAAGATTCCATTGAAAAGACTTCTACATATCTTTCATAGATCGAGTGAATATTTGGCGAAATGTTACAGCTGTTATATGGTAAAATGAGCACACTCAGTATATATCAAGTTACCAGATAACAGCTTCTCAGTATTTTCATATGGTGAGAAGCAGAATCAGCATTGATTATATTTCTATCTGCTTCCTACAATTTCTAGGATCAGCGCTGACGCTGCAGATCCGATATTATAAAAGGACCCTGCGTGGCAACCTTGGTGATTAATATAGTTAGAATAGTCTAGTAGTCTGAAGTTGATGAATTTCTGTAATTTATCCTTAGAAGTGTGATCATCATATCTTCTCTCCCGAAGTAATATTTTCAATGAAATGGGATAATGATCTGTAATTTTTGAATGCAGTACCATAGGAATAAATTTGTCATCTGTGAAATGGTTACTTCTGATAAACATAGGATCCAAACATGTAGAAGAGTCATTTTCTTCCCTAGTAGGGCAATTCACATATGATTTATAGCCATTCTCATAAAAAATATTAAGATATTCCTGAGTTTCATCAGAGTCTTCTAAGATATACAAATTTATATCACATATTACAATTTTCGTATCACAATTATCTACCTGTTTTATATAATTCTCAATTTCTGTGATGAATTCATTTTTGTTTATAGAAGGAGATTTATAAATTGATAATATTGAGAGTTTTTTTGTTCTATTCTTATTGTGGTTTTGATGCATTTGATATTTAGTATTTGTTTAATTTCATTTTTGAATTCAAGGTTGTCTTTCACGTAAACTAAAACACCATCGCATTTATTGATTAATCCCTCATTATAAACCTTTTTGTATCCTTTTATATCATAAAAATCTTGATTATTGATTAACAGGTCTCAGTTAGAATTATTATATCCAAGTTGAATTGCAGTTCACTGATTGACACTTCAAACTCATCAAAATTTTTCGAAATGCTCCTAATATTGCTGTGAAGAATATTCAAGCTGCCTTTTGTACTTGACAGTTCTTTCTTGCATTCATCAACATTTCTCATAATGATTGTTTTAATTTCGTTGGTTCTAAAATCTCGCAAATATGCATCTATTCTATTTATTACTTATGAAATAGGTATTATACAGGATACATTTTCAGAATGATGAGGGACCTAAAACATTACTTCAAAATTGGCGGATTACATCAGTTATGACAGTAGTTTATCATAAATTTCTTCTTCTTCTTTCTTGTTATTCTTTTCTCCTTTGGACTCGAATTTGATTTTTTTCTCTTCTTCACCTCTGTTGCTTCTGCTTTCTTGGTTCGTTGTTTCGTTTCTGATGTTGTATTTTCTTCTATTTTTGCTTCCTCACTATCTGGATCACTATCCTCAGCACTATCAGTTTTTACGTCTGACTCGTTTTCCTTAAGATCTTCTACTGTGAACCAATTTCCTTCAATTTCAATTTTATTTCCTCTGATTCTTGCTGTCTTGTTTTCCTCTCTTGCTTGCTCAAGGTGTTGTCTTAGTATCTTTTGGTCTTCCTGGTCTCTATGGCAGAGGTCGTTGGATATCGATATTTTCAATTCCTTGAAGTTTCTCAATTTTTCTTTATTCTGATATATCTCTAACTTTTTCAGGAAAGAAATGAACTCCACTTTTATTGGGCTATTAGGCTTTTTGTGAAGTTTGTATACGTTGTTTATATCGTTCAGCTTCAATTTGAGGCCTAGTAATTCATTAAGCTTCAACAATGTTGCTTTCGGTAGGTTAGTATCTTGCAAATCTAATCCGAAGATGATTATATCATTTCTCCTTATTTTGCGTTCTAGGAAAATGCATTGTTTTTCTACTATCTCGAGTTTTTTTATTGTTTGTTCAATGTTTTGGTGAATATGTTTCACATTGGTTTTGATTTCATTTTTCAGTTCCACTGTTTGTTCTTTCAATAGAGTTTTTATATCATCAAGCGTGACATTAGTCATTTGTGCTTATTTATGGGACGTAATTCCTAATCCGCTAATGAGCTTAAGACTTCGCTCACCTTCGCAGTTCCAATTTATACTAAAATTATAATCAATCACGACGATATGTCTTGAATCTTGAATACGCTTGGCTCGTACAGTGAAGAGGGGATGGCGTGTTGTCAATACAGGCCAATATTTATATTGGAATGACAGAGATTTTTTTATGTGTTTTTATTATTAAATGTGTTATTATATCTATCTTATACCTTCAAATATCATGTGTGTCTCCTCTGCAAATAAGATATTGTTGCCATCAATCGTGATGCATTTTCTGATTTATTCTCCACTATTCTTTCAATAACACAACGATAAAATCAGGAGCAACTACTCACATTCGAAATTCACACTCTGCTCTCTATCAAAAATGAACTAATCTGCTTCGATAGAATACATGTGAGATGAAAGAATACAGAGATACAATATGCACTTCTATGAAGTCAATGTATCTCGATTTGCCTATTGTTCTCGTTACAGACCCTTCGAAGTCATCTAATATGGTCACTGCGATCCTATCTGCTTCAACTGTTTGCATATTAGATGCTAGATTGACAAGTTACAGTGTGAACAAGGTCGGAGTTGCATGTTCTGCCTGTTGTATGAGTTATACCCACTTCGATGTCGTCTCATATGATCGTTGCGAACTGATATGCTTCGAAAGTATCCATGTGGGATGATAGAATACAGATATACAGTGTGCAGACTGATGTTGTCGAAGTATCTTCACTTGCCTATTGTTGTCGTTATATGTCCTTCAAAGTCGCCCTATATGGTCAGTGCGTTCGTGTCTGTTTCAACTGTAGGTTTGTCAGATGCTAGAATTCAGAGCCACAGTGTGAACATAGTCAAAGTCGAATTTTCTTGGTCTCCTTGTTGTATTCATTATTTTGATCTAGGAAACACTTGACAATATTTACCTATATGATGCACAACCGACTCTGATTATCATTAAGATTGATAATTTCGAATTTTTGGCGGACACGCCGGTTTACCGACTCTTGTATGTTAGAATCGAAGTTTTTGGTGGATATAAAATAGTATAGTATTCCACTCGCATTAAATGAGCTGTCATATATGCTTTTTGAAAAGGCCTGTCAGATGCTAGAATGCGAAGTTTCAGTGTAGACATAGTCAAGATCGAAGTTTCTTGTTCTGCCCGTTGTGTGCGTTATACCCGCTTCGATAACGTATTATAGGATCGTTGCGAACTGATTTGCTCCGAGAGTAACCATGTGAGATAAAAGAATGCAGAGATACAGTGTGCAGACTGGTGTTGTCGAAGAATCTTCACTTGCCTATTGCATGTCAGATGCTAGATTGCCATGTTACAGTGTAAACATAGTAGAAGTTCCATGTTCTGCCTGTTGTGTGAGTTATACCCGCTTCGATGTCGTCTCATATGATCGTTGCGAACTGATATGCTTCGGAAGTATCCATGTGGGATGATAGAATACAAAGATACAGTGTGCAGACTGATGTTGTCGAAGTATCTTCACTTGCCTATTGTACTCGTTATATGTCCCTCGAAGTCGTCCTATATGATCAGTGCGATCGTATCTGCTACAACTGTTGGCATGTCAAATGTTAGAATTCAGAGCCACAGTGTAAACATAGTCGAAGTCGAAGTTCCTCTTTCTCCCTGTTGTATGCGTTATTCTGACTCAGGAAACACTTGAAAATGTCTACCTATAAGATGATGAACCGACTCTGATTATCATTAGGATTGATCAATTCGAAGTTTTTGGCGAAAACGCCGGTTTACTGACTTTTGATAGTTGGAATTAAAGTTCCTGGTGGATATGGAACAGTATAGTTTTTCACTCACATATAATGAGCTGTCATATATGCTTCTTGTATAGGCATATCAGATGCTAGAATGCAAAGTTACAGTGTAAAAATAGTCGAAGTCTATATGATCATTGCGAACTGATTTGCTCCAAAGGTATCCATGTGAGATGATATAATACAGAGATACAGTGTGCAGACTGATGTTGTCGGAGTATTTTCACATGCCTATTGTTTTCGTTATATGTCCTTCGAAGTCGTCTTATATGGTCAGTGCGATCGTATCTGCTTCAACTGTTCGCATGTCAGATGCTAGATAGCGAAGTAACATTGTAAACGTAGTCGAAGTTTCATGTTCTGTCTGTTGTGTGCGTTGTTCCCGCTTCGATGTCGTCTCATATAATCGTTGCGAACTGATATGCTTCGGGAGTATCCATGTGAGATGATAGAATACCGAGATACAGTGTGCAGACTGATGTCGAAGTATCTTCACTTGCCTATTGTTTTCGTAATATGTCCTACAAAGTCGATCTACATGGTCAGTGCGATCGTATCTGCTTCAACTGTAGGCATGTTAGATGCTAGAATTCGAAGCAACAGTGTGAACATAGTTGGAGCCGAAGTTTCTTGTACTCCCTGTTGCATGCGTTGTTTTGGCTCAGGAAACATTCGAAAATGTCTACCTATAAAATGGATAACCGACTCTGATCATAACTAGGATTGATAAATTCGAAGTTTTTGGCGAACACGCCGGTTTACCGACTTTTAATTGTTGGAATCAAAGTTACTGGTGAATATCGCATAAAATGAACTGTCATATAATTATGCTTCTTGAATAGGCATATCAGATGCTAGAATGCACAGTTACAGTGTAAACATAGTCGAAGTTCAAGTTTTTCGTTGTGCCTGTTGTGTGCGTTCTACCCATTCTGATGTCGTCTCATATAATCGGTGCGAACATATATGCTCCAGAGGTATCCATGTGAGATGATATAATACAGTGTGCAGACTGATGTTGTCGAAGTATTTTCACTTTCCTATTGTTCTCATTATATATCCTGCGAATTCGTCTTATACTTTCAGTGCGATCGTATCTGCTTCAACTGTAGGTATGTCAGATACTAGAATTCAGAGCCACAGTGTGAACATAGTCGAAGTCGGAGTTTCTGGTTCTACCTGTTGTGTGAGTTATTCCCGCTTCGATGCCGTCTTAAATGATCGTTGCGATCTAACATTCTCCGAAGGCATCCATGTGAGATGATAGAATACAGACAAACTGTGTGCAGTCTGATGTTGTCGAATTATCTTCACTTTCCTATTGTCCTCGTTATATTATTATGTCCTCTGGAGTCGTCCTATATGGTCAGTGCGATCGTATCTGCTCCAACTGTAGGCATGTCAGATGCTAGAATTCAGAGCCACAGTGTAAACATAGTCGAAGTCGAAGTTTCTTGTTCTCTATTGTGTTCTCGCTTCGATTTCGTCTCTATGGTCTTCAAGATCTATTCTGCTTCAATAGTATCCATGTGAGATGATAAAATGGAGGGATACCGTATATATTTCCCTAAGTCGTCTCATACGGTCAGTGCGATCGTATCTGCTTCAACTGTATGCTTGTCAGATGCTGGAATGCAGAGTTGAAGTGTAAACAAAGTCGAAGTCTCTTGTTCTGCATGTTGTGTGCGTTAAACCCGCGTAAATGTCGCCTCATATGATCTTTGCGATCTATTCTGCTTCATTAGTATCCAGATAAGATGATAGAATAGAGAGATACAGCGTGCACCCGCATATATCCTCTCAAGTCGACTTTTACGGTCAGTGCGATCGAATCTGCTTCATATGTATGCTTATCAGAGGCTTGAATGCAGAGTTGAATTGTGAACATAGTCGAGGTCAGAGTTTCTTGTTTTGCACACAGGTGCTCTTCTGGTACTGCAGTTACGAATTTGGCCCCTTTTTATACTTAACAAGCAGTTGGTTTTTTTTTTCACTGATAGGAAATATTGAATATACCTTGGTGATCATCTTAGTTCACATAGAACTTTCACTTAATAAAAAGAATGGCCTATTTATTGAAACTTTTGGAGATTGTTGGTAAACTTCCAGTAGACTGATGAAGTAATTCTAATAGATCTTGCAATATCCAGGTAGAAGTGCCCCAAAATAAACAATAAGACGCTCACCAGAGAGCAGGATCTCAGTTCAATATTTCACATTCCCACTTATACTACCATCTTCTAAATAGAACAGTCCGGGATGGCTCAAAGCAGTAAGATACTGTAAATCCTATGGTGACTACTGCAGGCAAGCAGTCAGCAGCTAGTTAGTTGGACTCCTTGTTTGACAACCAAGGAATCAATCATACAGGGGACGAAATTCGTTACCCCAACTTGATAGTCTCAGACTAGATCATGTATGTTAACCAGAAAAAAAGTCCAAGTGAACCCAGGAGTCCAATTACATCAATAATCCGAGTATTTCAAGAATCCAAGTACTTCAAGAACTACGACTAAACCTATAAGTCCAAGTATATCAAAAAGTCCATTTACATCAAGAATTCCAAGTAACTCAAGAATTCCAAGTACCTCAAGAATTCCAAGTACCTCAAGATAGTTATTATCCTTGGAGTAGTACCAGATATATTATATACCTTTGGATGGTGTGTGGGCTTCACGTGGTGATGAAGATGGCCGGCGAACGAAGACACAATAATCCTCTATCGAGTTTTCCTGAACTCCAAGTCCACAATGAAGTGGAAGAAGTCTCTCTTGATCCCACCAGTAGTGGACAAATAAACGAAATACGATAAGCGATACTCAACGAAATGAAAGACTTCAATTCTATATTACGTTCTACCGTAGCCAGTCACCAAAATCAGAATCCCAAAAATCAGGTCCAGATTCTCCAGGAAGAATCCCCACTATATTGTTATCTCTCTCTCTGCTAGATTTGGCGTGCAAGAGGAGGGAGTTATGCGCATGACCGATATCACTCATCAAGTAATCACCCAAATGACAGCATAGAGCCAAAGAACAACAGAAATCAGAAGTCAGGAACCAAAATAGCACATTTGCCTAAATTGAACCACAGAACACGGAACATCGGAATTCATATCAGACCATTGAAACTGTTTGATTACCCGCGGCCGCAACTCTCATTCGGAACACACCATTCCT